CACTTCCCCAATCAAAAGTCCACATTCCCAAGCTCTCTAGCCTAACCCCAGACCACACTCGAGACACCCTGCGATCAAAGTCATACCTAGACCCAACCATAGAGCAAATTGGTGCTTGAAGGACGTTCATGGGACTAAGGCAAAGCTTCTTAATTAACTCAATTGAGGCTTCACCTCTTGGGCAAATGTGTAGCTTCAAAATCCCTAATGTTGCCTTAGTTTGGACCTTTATGAAAGAAATTTATATTTCATGTGAATCTAGTCATATGGATGTGTCAGGCTCAATTAAATGAAGGTGTAGGAACAAACCACACTTAATTTAGTTGAGTATCAAGTGAGATCTTAAGGTTAGAATGTGGACGGTTCACGGGTTATAAACGATTGGGGACAATGAACGAATGTATTCTGCTCGCACATATATTGAGTGGATGGCGAAGATCGGCTTGTATGAAGAGATGGAACGCGAACTATTGGCAGAGTCAACAACTGAGGTGTAAGGCGTGGCAAATCACCAGGCAACATGTGGTTTTCAGAGCCATCGTAGTTGACGCGTCGCCGAGTTGGATAAGCAGATAAATATTTGTTTTCTAAATTAATTAAATACAGAAAATATTATTTAACTGTAAAAATTCATATCTTGGTGTAGACAATTCATAAAAATAAAATAAAAATGTCTCTGTGCTCAGTGAACTGAGGAGAATTTAATGGACTTAAAATAAAAATAAAAAATATTTATTAAGTATTTTAGTTTAAATTAATTAAAACCCTCGAGACAAATTTAATTATACTTAATTAAGTAATTATCATAACTATATGAAATTTTGAGAGCTTATTACTAATGGCCTTAGGGATGTTCACGGATTTTTCTAAGGTAAGAGGCCAGCCGTAGCATCAAAAACCCTAATTTTATAGAAATTTCACCTTGTTTTAATTAAAAAATTATAAAAAAATAAAATAAAAACCAGAGAAATATAAAATAAAGTCTATTGTGTTCACTGTGATCAGAGGACCAAAGGAAAAATAAAAATGAAATTTAAAAAAAAAATGTATTATTAAGTACTTTTCTATTTAAAAATTAATAATAAAATTATAAAAATGTAAATACAGCTCAACAAAAGATATTAAGTATTTTTTCTTTTCTAATGACTCTAGAGAAGTCCTTTTAAGATGATTTCTAATTAAAGAAAATAACCCTAGGATGCTTCCATAAAAATTTTAAAGTCAGAAAAGTTATTTTTAATATAAAAATGTATTGTTCAAGAAAATAGTAATATTTACTTAAAATAATTACATAAATAAAATAAAAATTAGAAAATTAGAAAATCAAGTTTGGAGTGTTCTTCGAGATTAGAAGAACTTAGGAAAAATAAAATTAAAGTCAAAATAAAAAGTTCATTTTTAGCCACTTTTTAATTAAAAATAATTAAAAATAATTAAAATTTACAAAAAAATACAAAAATATACCTCAAAATGTCAAAAATTACTCTTAGATAAAGAAAACAACTTAGAAATGCTTTTACAAATTTTTTAAATTGTAAAAATGTATTTTTCCATATATTTTTTTAAATTAATTATAAAAAATAAAAATCACAAAAAATATAAAATAAATTTCGTAGGGTTTTCTAAAGTCAAAGAGATTAATAAAAAAAAATTTCAAAATAAAAAATATATTTTATATTTATTTATTCATTAAAATTAACTAAAAAACATTAAATTTAAAATATAATAGAAGAATTCTTGAAAATTATTCTAAGTGGACCTTTGACTCATAAAAACATAATAAAAGTTTCCTAAAGATAGAAAATATGTTTTGATTAATTAAATTAATTAACACTGAAAATATATAATTTTGGATCAAAATAATTATAAGAAAATAAAAAAAAATCTAAATTCTCCTCTAATGTTTCAATTAACCCATGAGTAAGAGACCAACAAAGTTTCATGGTCATTTGAGTTAAGCTAAGAGAGTTATAGGGTAGGAAAAGGGGTAAAGTTGTAATTTTGGAATTTCGTACTCTAATTAAAATTTAGGTCAAATTAAAAAGTAAGAGGGTAATATTTATGATGATTAATCCTCTAAGATGATTGAAGTACAAGGGTGAAATGGTAGAAACCAATTCACACTATTTTCCACCAAGGGGCACAATTGTAATTATTCAATTTGTTGAAGATCAAAAGACAATTAAGTTTGGATGATCCAAGTGTGAAAGGGCACAAGTTAGGAAGACAATAATCTACTGATTTGAAGCTCCAAGCCCCAAACTAATGGTTAAGGGTTAAGCATAATTCAATCTTTCAATAAGAATCAAACACATTTCATAGAACATTTTCAAAATTACAAATTTATCCTTAAAAGATCTAAGAGCTTAATAGTGAGCTAGGCATGATTCCACATCATACAAAGAGGATTATAAAATTAAACATAATTTATCATAAACATTCCTAAAATACTAAAAGCTCAAGCCCAATGAGAAGAGAGAATAAAATTCCCTAAAGCAACTATGTTTACCCCTAGGGGTGACTATCCTTCAGCTTTTTAGCCTTAATCAAGTCCTTGACGAAGCTCCTGAGGTGCATGCATTCTTTTGTGTTATGGTCGTGGTCTCTGTTGTAGGCTTAGAACTTGTTCGGATTTTGAGCCAAACTTCTGACCCTCATCGATTGAGTTTTTTTAAAGTATTCGTTATCTTGGATAGCCTATACGAATTCGACCATCTAAATTCTTTGATCCGTCGTTTTGAGTGGCTCCTTCCACGTCGGTGGTCATTTTCTTTGGTGGGTCGATTGTTGATCAAGGTATCGAGCGTGTCTATCTCGATTGTTTCTCTTAGCATTCCTTTTGTTTTTGTGATGCGACTAGTGGTTTTCATAACGAGGATAAGTAGAAAGATGAGATCGTCTTTCTCTCTCCAACCATCATCTATTGGCGCTCTATTATGTGATCGTGCATCGGTGGCTGCTTTTCGGGCCTCTTTTTGATTGTTGAGGACATATTCCTCCATGGTGATATGATGGTTGCCCATTTTTAGTAGCTCGACCATTGATTTTGGCTAGCCAATCCTAAAGCATACTTGAAATGCTCACTTTTTACTCTCTACAATAGAGCGATCTACGCGATAAGGGGCTCCAGGTTTTGAATCTCCAACATTTTCTTCTAGAACCTTGTGATGTATGATAAAGATTCTCTCTTTCCTTTTGTTTGATATGCAAGAGAGCTAAGGACTTCTTTGATGACTTTTGCGCGCTAACAAAGTGGGCCATGAAAAACCTTTTGAATTTGAAGCTAGAAGGGATGACTTCTATCGGGAGGGCATTGAACCATTGGAGGGTCGACTCCATCAACATGGTAAGGAATAAGTAGCATTTGAATGCACCCGTAATTTTCAATATTTTGATGGCTGACTCGAAAGTGCCTACATGATCAACTGAGTCGGTGAGAACCTTATACGAATCAAGTTAGAGGTTTAGAAATTTTATGGGGGTTTGACATAAGAAATATGCCGAGAGAAGACATTCTCAACATGGTGGAGGGTTGTGGATCACATAGTGAGGTGTCTTTCCACTGGGGTTGATCCAACGCTATCCTGGTAATGAGAATAGTCACTTTTTTCTTCCATTGGCTGGGATTTTTTACTGTTGGGTACCGGTCCACCTTGCATATCGTTTTGTCACTGATCAACCCTAGCGGTTACACTCTTGGTGGCTTTATTCTTGAGGGTTTTGGCTTCCTCTGGGTAGGGCTTCTTGAAAAGCACCTAGCAACTGTTCCTTCATTTCTAGCATCAACTATTCCTTCATCTCCATTATTTGCTGCCACACAATCTCTCTTATGCTATCCACATATACTGCTTTACTCCGTGCCTCCCGAACAACCGCTTTGTCATTGAGGGGTACTCCTTTTCTTGTTGGTGTCATAATTTCACGCTCATTGCACCTTTTTGGTGTTGAATTTGGAAATGTACAAGACTCGCACCCAAGAAATAGAGTGCCCCAGGAAGGGGAGAATGAGTGAGAGAGGAGAGGTGAACAACAAAAATTAAGAGTGTCTAAAGTTTTTCTTCATGAAATGTTTTCTTGTTTATAGGTATAAGAGGCACCTTGAATACACAATTAACTTTATGCATTCTCTCTATACAAAGAAATATCGGGGTACTAAGGTCTTTCATAAAATATATTTAAATATGCTGATAAATAAATCTTTGGTCGACGACAGTAATATTTCGCTCGTTGGCCCTCACGTATTCTTTCGACGGAACCATGTTCGGGGGGGGGGGGGTGTGGTAAATATGAAGACCCCTTACTTGAGATTGTCTATGACTTCCTTTCTAGTTTGCTTTCCTCATTCATTTGGTGGTAGATCGTCCTTTGTTTGGCTTGCTCTGTAGGTATCATTTATTCGACTATTTTATGCTTTTTACTCGTTTGACCACTATGTCGATCGGCTTGTTGAATAGACCGACTACCCAACAAAGTTTCATGATGCTTTCCCTGGCTTTGGCATTGATTCCCCTTCTCAATAAATTAAATTAGTTTGTTGACTGGTCTTGATATACTTTGACCGCGAGGTACACCTCATTTGTCGTGCACTCATATTTTGCTCCGAGATTCATTCTACCGCAATCCTGTCATACATCACCATATCCAAGCGAGTTCATCAAATTTACAATCATCATCTTTATATTCGGCCAAATTTTTTGGGTGTACGATATCAATATACAAAGGTGATCACATTTAAAAGATAATTATAAGCAAAACAATGTCACATGACAATTTCTCATACTACAATTATAATTCATGAAAAATAATGGTGAAGATTTGCATGCATACTCCTCATTTTTTATGCATCTTCATATCTAACACCTAAACTATAATTTTTCCATACATAGCACCTTATTTGTGCATGAAAATATTTTAATAAAATGACGGTATATTTGATGTGACATAAAAATTTTGGGTGGAATAAATATCAACCAAAAAGAGAGAGAGTAAAATTTAGGTGCTAGATATGTAAATGCATATAAATTGCGTTTGGTAGCCGTTGTACATCAGACAGCTCATATTAATTTCCGATGCTTCCCTATGACGCTGAAAGCTAACCCACATCGCAACAATGGCTGCCAATAACTTTTTTTTACCAAACAAATTATAGTCCACGAATTAGCAAATCATCCCATAGATAGAGAACATATTACAGTCTTAAAACACAAACGACAACTCAAAATCAAGCTGCCAAGCATGAATAATTCAGAAGCCAGAGCATCTTAATGTTTGTTTCTTTGGCAACCAAACGCCATGAGATTCTTCTCCGACGACCCTCCCTCACTAATGGCCTTTCTCGCCTTCTCCTTCCACATCTCCGCCTTCATCCTCATCTCCACCCCCCTCTCCCCTTCCCCCATCACAATATCCAAACACCTCCTCAGTTCCTCCGACAAGACCCACCCTTTCTCTCCCACCTCCGCCTTCAATCCCATTCCCCATTGCCTCTCCATCAACCACGCGTTCGTTGCCTGATCGGACCATTTCGGCATCGCCACCGCCGGAACGCCGTATAGCAATCCCTCCAACGTCGAATTCCACCCGCAGTGCGTCACAAAGCATCCCACCGCCTTGTGCCTCAGCACTCTTCCCTGCTTGCACCATTTCAAAACCATTCCCTGTTTCACCTCGCCAACAATGTTCATATCATGCCATCTTCTGTCCTTCCCAATAACCCAAAGATATGGTCTTTGGCTTTCTTTCAAACCTTTACCAATCTCCTCAATTTCCTCCTTACTCATCTTATGCACACTCCCAAACGCCACATACACCACTGATTTATCTTCCTGCGAATCCAACCATTCCATGTATTCCTCCTCGTCTTCCTCAAACATATCCTCTGTTTCCCCTTCCGCCTCGTTCAGCACCGCCGGACCCACCGTGATTAACTCCATATGTTCTTCCATGGGTGCCAGAGCGTTCATCTCTAACTCATCGAACGAGTTCACAAGCACCCTCGGCTTCTCCCCTGCTTGTCTTCTCAGAGACAAATCTGTAAACAGTTTGCGGAAGGCGTTAAGGATATCGAAGAACGGGTCGTCCGGTGAGGTGATGGTGAGGAAGTTTGGAAGATCGCGGATTTGAAAAGTGGGGAGCGATGGGAAAGAGATTGGAAAAGAGGGATCTTTGGCGTGGGAGACGATGAAAGATTCGTACCCGTTGAAGAAGTGGTGGTAGATGGAGAGAATAGTGGCTGCTTGGATCCAGTAGAGAGCGGAATGGATGCGGAGTTCAGTAGCAACATCACCAGCCCATTGGACCATGATGGTGTAGATGAGGCAGGTGACTGGGCGGCCGGAGGAGGCGAGGTCTTGGAGGATGGTGGTGAGATGGCTGGAGCCAAGTTCTCTGACTTGGGACACCAGAGAGCGGAGATCCGTGTCGTTGGCATTTTGGAGGGAGGAGAAGCCATCGGAGAAGGGAATGTAGGTGATTCCGTTGTGGAGGATTGGGGAGGCGGGGGAAGGGAGTGAAGGGAACATTCGGCAGTGCGCGGTCGTGGCTGTGCAGAAGGTGATGTCGGAGTTGGTCGAAGAGAGGAGGCGTTTGGCAAGGTTGATAGCTGGGTTGAGGTGGCCTTGCGCGGGGAAGGTTATGATTAAGATGTGCGGCTTCGTTGTCGGCGACGGTGGTTGATGGTCCATTGGTTAAGGAAAGGGAAGAAGCCCTGGTGTGGATAAAGTTGCAGTTTTTTGAAAGCTTAGTGGCCACACAGTGCTTGTTTGTGTTGATTGGTGTGAGAAAATTCAATTTAGGCAATTGTGGGAGTTATTTATAGAGAAAAGGAATCTTTTAACAGCATTATAATTAGGAGGTGTTTTGGTAGCATGCAATTAATAGGATGTAGGGATAAATTTAGTTTAAATCAAGTTAAACTTTAAAAAAAAAAAAACTGAACATTAAATTCACCTTTCGTAGGGATAAATTTAGTTTAAATCAAGTTAAACTTTTAAAAAAAAAAAAAAACTGAACATTAAATTCACCTTTCGGTTGAATGAATCGAATTTTCTCGCGTTATATTTATTTTTTTCGCTTTTTGTCTTTTTTTAGTAATTCAAATTTATTAAATCTAATTAAAGGAGGATTTATTCCGTCATCCCTCGCGAGTTTCATCATCGAAGATAAATCTAAGTTTATCGGATTTGATAAATCCTAGTTAGAGGAAAAGCTATGTTGCAGCCAACCACCGCCTTAATGTGTTAGAATTTGACCCCAAACCAATGGGTCAAGAGTTTCAGCACATGTTTTATAGCAAAAGATGTGGTGGGCTTATCTAAATGCACATTCTATTGTAAGTGCATTGATCTTTCTCTCTTTCTTTAGTATTCTCACAACAACCGTTCTCAAATTTCCAGCAAGCTCTTTATTTATTTATTTTTCTTAAGTATAATCAGTGGTGTGCATCAAGCATGTCGTCTCAATGGAAGAAGTGAAGATTAGTGTTTATAGGGAACAAAGGGTTTAACTATTGTGGAGATGCATGCATTCAAGGGAGGAAAGGAAGAAGCAAGAAATAAAGTGGCCAATTACAAAAAAAAAGAAATTTTTTTTGTAATAAAAGGCATTATATTATGAAAAAATTAAATGTATTTTAATATCCAACATCTATAAAGTTATTGATGCATACTTCCTTCATCATAGTAAGATGCTCTTATGCTTCTGTCACACCTGAGTCCTTTTTTCCATCTCAAGGATATTCACAACAACATTTGCTATATTGTTGGTTACCCCTTATTGTGCTGATGATGACAATAAAATGATGTGTTTTTGGTGTGGGAGCCTTGCTACATGGCCTATGTTAGCCACGATCAAGTCATCCCCTCCTTTCAATTGTCAGGAGCTCGAATATTCTAGGTTTTGAATTTCACGAAATCAAGTATAAACATCTTGTAACACAAATTGTGAAACAGGGGTTGGCTCAACCTTTCAAGTAAATGGAGTAGCTCAAGGGAGGACAAGTATAGTAATTGTAGATCTTTAAAAAAACTTAAATCAATTGTCGCTTATTATAGTATTCCATGTTCTCCTTTCATCAAGTGCTCCAACAACGTGTCAAGCTAGAGGGCCAGCGGGCTTGACTCAGATAACCTTATATTATCAAAATGATAACAAAAAAGACCAAGCAATTAAGTGGGTGATTAATGCAAAAAAAGTTATTCTATTTAACTTTGTTTGCTCATTAGATTGATTGGAGTTATTAATTCTTCAACAAATAGAAGTATATTGAAGTGAGTTATCATGGAAGGTACGTCTATTCAGTGTTCTTCATTAGAAAAACTTATTTGATGAGCCTCGTGATGAACATTTTGAGTGAGCTCTTGATACCTCTAAATTTAAGCTAGCTTCTAAGCTATTAGTTAATATTATCATAGGTTTGATTAATATTTAACATAAAAGGCAGATGTAGCGTTTGTTTCAAAAATTATAATTCTTCATTATAAGTACTACATTTTATTCTCTAAATGCCATTTATACTTAATTTTCTTCATTTACAATGATGTGTCAAGTCAATTTAAGAGGTAAAGTACACTCAAAGCTCAAATGTTAACTAATTTTTTTTAATATTAAGTTTTCTAGTATGATAAAAAGCATTTTAAGGTGCAGCTTATAAAAGTTGGTGAGTTCCAAAACTTGCTTAATAATGATGAATTATGCTTCAAATTAGAACAATTCTAACTTATCTTGCATCTCTTTCAAGCAAATTATATCACTGATACTTTAAAAATTTGAAGACACATTCCTACTAATCTTATTCCCAACATATTTTGTTAGTTTGGTCAGCTTGTTCGAGAAATGATAAGCTCCTCTATGGTGTCACATTCTTTTTTCAATTTCTTACTATGAAGGCCTTTAAGGACTTGTGAGGTTTTGCTTGTTTTCGTCAATCTACATCTAAGAAAAAAATTAGGAAATAAGATTTGTAATTAAAAGGGGTAGTTCATATTCAGCATGTTGGAATTTTGGTGGATAATGTTGACAAAACTTAACCTATTTTTGAAATATATGGAAGACATTACCATTATAGTCATTGAAAAGTTTTCCACATTTATTCACCTAATGAGCCTTGCATTACATGTCAATATGTTTACTTCCTAAATGTGGTATTGATAATTTTATAAAGTAAGTCTATACGCAATTAAGTTTCCTATCACTAATATATATTTTTTTAATTTCTTCATTAGTTCCAATAAGTTCCTTTGTACACATGCAAGTCCAATGCTTTTTCTCTACTACTAAGTTCCTTGGGATCATTGTATCTAGATTAAGGAAAATGAAGACAACTGTAAGTGATCATTAAAAATCCATGTTTGGTGTTCCCTTTGTATGATGGCAATAAATATTCTTATTGTGAATTCCCCCTCACCCCATTCTCCTATAGTGCTCATGAGGAGATGGTTGAATCAACCATTCTCCCCTTAGGTGTGATCATTATGGAGGGTTGTTCCGTTCATTCAGCAGAAAATTCATCATCTCCCCCTCTCATGGGTGCCACTAACTCCTCTAATCATGTCCTTCAAGGGAGTGTCTTAAACAACTTACAACACAGTGATAAATAAAGAGTTAGAAAGAGGGAGGCTTGAATAATTGTTGTGATAATGTAAATTTGCTTGAATGGAAAATGACACCGTCTTTGTGACTAGGAGATCAAGCAGATTCATAGAGTTAAACGACTCTACACACATGTAACTAAATATGATGCAACACTTTTTAGTGACACAGTCATATGAAACCAAAAAGTTCTTGATTTACATATGCCCGGGAGTGGGGAGAAATATATGTTTAATGGATTCTTAAAATTTTTTTATTCTTAAATATCTCTATATGCAACTTGAATAGGGATTAAATTGAAATAAAAAATAATATACTTAATAAAAAACTATGCAACTTGAATAGGGATTAAATTGAAATAAAAAGTAAATAATATACTTAATAAAAAATAATAATGATAAAAAAAGGATGAAAGACAAGTTCGACATATAAATAGGAGATGATTATAATGTGCATTAATTATATCTTATATCCACAGATAAGTGTCAATCCCATCTATGATTTATTACACAAACTATGCTAAAATAAACATTGCTTCTTCACTTGGTAGAGAAGCATTTTCACTAGTGTTCATATTGATAATACCTCTCTTCCCTTAGCATAAACTATGATCTCTTTCTTCATGACCAGTGTATATTTTTATTTTGTGCTTCAATAAAACATCTAAGCAAATATGCAAGATAAAAAATATAAAAAACTTGATATAAGAGAGTTTTTTTTTCTTACACATAGATGAGATCATGCGTTATAAAACCAACCTAAAAAATTCCATAAAATGTTAGGAGATTAGATCAAGGCCAAGAAAGTATGGTAGAATTCTCGGTGGCATGGATAACTTAATGCCACAACACTACCTATATCATTGTAGTGCTTGAAAATAATAAGAAGTTATGGTGGTGGTCATAAAGAGTTATGACTGTGGAGTTAATAGGAGGAAAAATTAAGTCAAAATTATGTAGTACGTTAGAGTGCTTTGGAGTATGCAAGTTGAGAGTAGAGTGTGACTGAGTGAGTGTTGAGTAGAGAAAAAAAAACAATAGAGAGGCCTATACAAAATAGGAGGAAAAGTGGAATTAGATTGAAAACCTAGTTATTTCTTTTCTTTATTTAGATTCCTTTACTATGATTTTCTATTAATAAGTTTTGTATTTTCTCTCTATCATTCTTTATGTATATGAACTAAGTATTTTTCTTTGAGTTTATTGTGAACTTAAAGTAATCTATGTACTTATTAAGTTGAGTTAATGAAATTAATTTTTTAATTATTTTTATTTGCTTTATTCTCCATTTAGTTGTGTTTTAGCTATACACATCTCAGGACCTAGTGTGATTTACATGTATAAAAAAAGCCATAGTAGAATAATTATAGCGGAGAGATAAATCTTTGAGTATATAGGCATATAATACTTCTTGATTTACAATCTTATAAAAAAAATATCATATATGCTATCATTTAAACTAATTATGAGAGGAATATAACTAGTTAGTATAAGTGATTATATTTTAAACTTATCGAAGGGGACTAGAAGACAAATATGTTCTTCATTGATATGATAATTTTGGAGAAATTTCATACAAAAAAAATCATAAATTACTTAAGCAAACCCATAAATTTTGAGTCTTTTATCAATTGAAAGCCAAATTTTTTTTTTATGTAGTAGAAAGATTAGTTTGTAGTTAGTCATTTAATGAGATTCAAATTGTTGGATAAAAGATAAGTTAATCTTAAATTAATAATTAACATAGCAATTTTTAAGAAGTATTATCATCATGGGAACAATATTTGATTCATCTCTTTATTATTTGAATGATGTGTGTGTGTGTGTGTAGAGAGAGAGAGAGAGAGAGAGAGAGAGAGAGAGAGAGAGAGAGAGAGAGAGAGAGAGAGCTAAATACAATAAATGAATATCACTTTAAACACGAGAAAATAGATGAATAGCCTTAATAAGAGATGGTGAAATCATCAAATATGTGATTATTTGAAATAGTAAAAAAACAAGAGGCACTTTTTATCATCATTAATAGTAAGAAATATTGTGATTAACCAAAAGTAAGCTACATGGTCAACCAGATTTGTTATATAGCTATATAATTTAATTAAAATGTGACATTATAAAGCTTGTTAAGTGCTTTACTTCTACAATATCTATACATAATACATTTATCACCAACGAACTTAGCCTTTCAGCTTACCATGTAGGGGAGGGACTCTCCATCATCACTGGGTCTCATCTATGGTAGGTATGGCGGTTAGTGCTATGATAATTATAATTTGTCTCCATATAACTTATTTCA